CTAAGAAAGAGCCACATCCTACCAGTTTGTCTTTATTACACTGGAGGTTGTACTGTCAAGATTAGACCTCAGTGCTTTTAGCCATGAGCAAGGTGCTGTACTCTTATACAATGAGATGAACTCTTTCTTCCTCCTTTCTTTTGAAGCACCTGTGAATCAAACAAGCAAAACAAATAGATGCATCAGTGACACAGAGACACTGTGGGTGTATAGAAGTGGAGAGCAGACCTTGTAGGTAAGTCTTAAAGAGTTCCCTATTAAAGCATTCCCTAACTAAGGAGTTTCCAGACTAATCCATTGTCCCTTCGTCTACCAGAGAGCCCCACATTTAGGTAACTGGATGGCCTTACACAGGCAACCAGCTACCCCCAGCATACAGGTTTTTACTGGGACAGAAGTCTTTGAATTGGCCTGCAGATGTCTTGTGTAGAGCACAGCTGTACATAGCGTGACCTGTGTGCATTTCTACGTGCTCTGTGGCAGTCTTTTTTCTCATTCATCTCCAGCGTAAGAACTGTTGTATCTCCTTGACTACACTGAAGCTTCTGTGTTGTTGGTACTGTGAAGAGTGACTTCAGTTTGGTGACAAAACTATTTTTGCCTTCAGGGACTTGTAGTGTGGGTCAAATCTGCAAGAGGTTCTCAGGATGGTGCTGAAGCACTCAAAGACACACAGTTTAACAGCAGGAGCTTGCTGCAATTTCTGTTGCTTTTAAATAGGACATTATTATATTATTCTTGCCTTCCAGAAGGAGAAATTAGAGCATATACATCTGTCCATGGCTCCTAGGCTGATATTGGCTAGTCACACCTCAGAGAATACAGACCTGGCTTCCTGAGCACATTGCACCATCCTGTGGCCGTACCGATCCTCCAAGACAGTCTTTCAATCATCACTCTGGAGCACTCTTGGGTTTAAGGCTCTGTTTTCATGTTTGAAAGGCTCTGAAGGGAGTGTTAGCTTCCCAAGCTGAACTGGTTCCCATGGCTTGTGGTCATTTTTAATTCCCCGGGAATGGTCTCTAAAAGCAACATTTCTAACATCCATGTGAACAACTTCTCACTTTCCCCATCCTGGTTTTCCTGTTTGCAACTGAATTCCAGGCAGGTTTTTTCCTCAAAGCCTACATTTCCAAAAACAACCACCTTAAGCAAACAAAGAAGAACCAAAAAACAAATTAAAATTCCTCCATAGTCAAATCATCCTTTTGGCATCTTTTCAGCACCATTGCAAAATGCAAACATCTTTCAACATCACTAGGCAGACACTTTCTTAGAGAGCAATGCTATTCCACCACATGGATATTTTGCACAAATGCAACTCATGTAACAGGTTGCAAAAGCCTACACTGTGCAGCAGGGAACATGAGTGACACAGGATCTACCAGTTTAACAGGTTACTGCACACCAGTTTTGTTGTTAGGAGCTGAAGTGTTAAACCTCATCAGCTTCACCCAACAGCATGCTAAGGGGGTGCAATACACCCAGAGTGTAATAGATCCAGAGTGTAATGCATACAGGGCTACAGCCATCTCCTCTCACTCCTTAAGCCTATAGTTTAGTGTAGATGTGTCCGTATGAGCCAGTCATTGGGTGTCCAATTAATGTCACTGTGTGGAGAGTGATTCTTCATCCTGAAGTCAAAGTCTAAAATAAAGAGAGACAGTTTGTCTTTTTCTCTTTTTTAACTGTAAAAGAAGGTAGGGCACTCATACACAGCTTGTGTAGTGATCTGTAGTATCGAGACAGACACACTGGAGATGTTTAATATTGGGTAAGATAAAGCCAGTGGCTTGAGAAAGGATTTTTGGGAAAACAGCCAGTACAGTAACAGAGCCTATAGAGAGCTATAGCTAAGTCAGGGGCTGTCTGCTGTAGGGTAAAATAAATTGCCCTCTAAACTCCACCAACTGATTAGATCTCCATCAGGTATATTGGGAGCTAGGAACCTAGGTTATACATAGACAGTGATATTTTTGATATGGCATAATTTAGCCTGCATTTTAAGACACATTAGGTGGGATTTAGTCATAAACATAAGCTCTACTGAAAACTGAGATGCCCTAAATTATTTATGGTACCCAGATAAGGCTTCAGAGGGGACACAGGAGCTGCAGGAGGCTTGTGCCCTTCTGGACAAAGAGATGGGAGCTAAGTGGTATATAGTAGAATATCTAAAACTATGAGGGAAGACAAACTTTGCACTGAATTAGGCGTGAATCTGTTACATTCCTGAAGTTAGGAAAGACATCTCCATATGTTATTTCAGGCAAGATGGCAGAGAAACACAACTCCACTTCAAATCCAAGGCTCATATACAAGACGATCAGAAGCCCCACTGCTTGAGTCCTAACCTTGCATTTTGCAGTGTTATCTTCATCTATCAGTTCAAACTATTTCAATTATTATCTGATGAAGGGTTCTTAGCCAATGGACACTGGAACAATAGTTTGATAAGACCTCTGAAAATAATTATGCCATCTATTCCTATGAATTTTAGCTGCTATTGACTGTCATTCTTGGCAGAGTATCAAGCAAGATCAGGATTATGTTCTGCTAAAATAACAGACAATTGTAGCCCAAAACTTTAATTCCAACAAACAAGGTAAAAGGCAAAAGGGGATAATATCAGATAAGGAATTCTTAGATGTTTAAGGTGGGCTTCAGGGTTCCTGAAGGAAAATATGGGGGGAAATTAGTACCATCCTAAAGCAGACATCTAAAATAAGTGATAACCATCACTCTGAACTCTGTTCCTGTCAGGTGATTATAGAGAAAGCCATGGCTGTCTAGTGCAGACTGAGACACTTAATTCTCAGCCATTTCTATTAACTCATCTGGCAGATACCCTCTAACTTCATCCAAGTAGTCCCACCATATGCCCAAAGAATTTTAAACCCAGATTATTATGGATATATTACTTGTCAATTTTTGGTATTATTTGGGCACAGCACAAGTAATGTATATGTGAAAGAAGCGTATAAAGCTCAGAAGAAAACTTGAGTACTCCTCAAGACAGTGTTAAGCACTGATAGGGAGCACTCTATCTATCTCTGTCCACTGTAATCCCAAAAAAGATAATCATCAAGTTAACATGACCTAAAGGAATAATCTAGAAATCTGCCATGATGGCAGTTGCTCCTATGGAAAGGAGAGAGACAAATTTCTCTGTTTGGTAAAGATGGGGGATGTCACAGGCTTGGAAGGCACCTCTGAAAGCTCAAGTGAGATATAAGCCTCATTATCCTAGTGGTAGAGCAGGAGAAGAATTAGTGAGGAAGAGAATAGTATTTATTATTGTCAGTTGTAGAAGGCCTTAAAAAAAAAACAACAAAAAACACATCAGAAATGTTTAATCCAGCCTTAAATTGGTGACTTCTTGAGTTTCTTTCCAGTTTTCCTTTTTTTGTGATTCTTTGGAATGTCTTCCAGATTGCTGGTCTGCCTTAATTTTATTTTTGCTGACTCTCCTGATATTGCTTTTTTTTTCTGTTTAGACTGATATATCCCAAAGGTATCTTTAAACTAAAAATGCATAACCACAACCTTAAATGCATCCAAGCCACGAAACCAGTCACTTCTTTTCCACTTCATTGAAATTTCTGGCTCCTGATAACTAGTTCCTAAACAAAACAATTATTAATTTAGCATTTTACTTGGAGGTTGTTTAAGGGAAGTGTTTGGAGGAAGAAAAGGTGTGGCCATTATCAGGCTTTCCTAAAGGGGTGCTTAAAATACAAATTATTAAAGGTGTGGTAGATGATGTCTTAAATTGTTAGGTTTGTGACAGAGAGATTCTAAGCATGTGTGTAGACTCTGGGTGTGTCTAATGTGTGTGTCTAATGTATGTGTCATTTGAATTAAGACTTAGTTCTGGGTTCTCTAGGAGACCTAGATGCCTGAAGCAGAGATCAGTTGCATGTAGTTCTCCTCCCCATCCAAGAAAATATCCTTAGAGGACTTAATAAGCTAAAAGTTGTAATTAAAAAAATGGACTTCATATTGTGGTTTAAAAGAGTGAATATTTTATTTTTATTTTTAAATTATTTTTATGTGTAAAACAATTCTCAGAAAACTGTCAAGTAACACTAATTAGGACATTAAGAGTAGGTCTTGCTGCTCTCTGTCAAAAAAAAAAAAAAAAGGAAAAATAACCACAAAAAATAAAAGAAGACAGACAAAGAGCCTAAAACCTTCTTCTAAAAGTAATTGGACAAAAGATCTTAATTTTAAGATTTTAAGGAAGAACTGAAGAACTCATCAAATGAGTGAGCCAGGTGCTGAAGCACAGACAATGAATCTGGGGATTCCTTTAATTTTGTATTTTCTTGGAAGGTTGTGCTTTGGAACTGTGGTTTAGCAAGCTCCCTGGCTGATGAAAAAGACAATGTCATCATGGCATCATGTCTTTGTTCACCATGATAGTCAGAGTCAATCTCACCGTCTTCTTCACAACAACTATCAAGTAACAAGCTTCACTGCTCAACCCCTTTAAGGTTTTGGGCAACTATATCCGTAAAAGTGAAAGGAACTGGGCCCCTGGGAACCCTGGGAAGTGATGCTTTTTGGCATAATGGGATGTGGGAAACAATTTGCATTTGACACCAGAGAAGGCATCTGGTTTTCATTAATTGGGTGACAAGGCAGGAAAGCTATCAGATGTGCTAATTTGTTGGTCTGGCATGTAATGAGATGGGGTATTGAGGATGTTCTGGTACTTTCTGAGGAGGAAAACTACCTAAGGGGTTTCTGAGTCAAGGCTATTTTGACAAGGAGAATTTTGATGAATTTTAAGGTCACAGTAGCCTAAATGGTGATATTAATCTGGAAGTGGTGTAAATACATATGAGTTGGTATTCAGCTAATGAAAATGGGTATTGTGAGATAGATGTCTCTTAAATGCTGTCGATGAAAACATAAATTCAGTAGTTTAGGTATTAAAAGGATACAGTTTGTTGAATTTTACTCTTACAGCATTTTGAGTATGTTATGTTGTTTGTTTTGCTGGACACGAAGGTGGGAAATCTGAATGGGATAGGGAATTCCCAGCAAGGTTTTGCCTTGTGTAAGTGCTTCTTTCCTTTGATTAACAACACTCACCTTGCTGCTTGATTTCTATTTCAGTAACAGTGTTATTTCTTGTAGTAATCTGAATGGGGATAATGGTAAGCATATCTATCAAAAATGCAAACTATTCAATCAAGCATCAGTGTAGGATAATAACATTCTACCTTCAGCAACACTCCAGCTACGTTTTAATTTCCTCCATTATGGGGGCTGTTTTAGACAGCAATTCATCTGACCTGATTTAGATATTTGTGTTACGAAGAAGCGAATTTCACTTTTATTTCCTCAGCAGTACTGACTATGGTGACATAACTTTTGCATGTGCAGAGTCTTGTCTGACTGACTTATTTGCAGGTATTTGCATATACTTAAAAACTTTAGCCACGTTATCCCTTAATTTTCTCCCGAGAAGCTACCCACACTAAGCTCTGTATTAAAATATTTCAATTTGTCAACATTTTCTTGAAAATGGCCAATTTTTTGGAAAGCAAAAATGTAGTATTAATTGTGACTTAGCCTGAGTAGGCAATATAACATTGTACTGTATCTCTCATAGGATTTCACTGGTGGTTTTATTCATGGCCGCTCCAAATAGATTTAACTGAGTGAAAAGGAAACTCTGTTCCCAGGCTATTTTTTATTTAATGATATCCATTAGAGTGGTGTCATTTTTCAAGATAACAAATAAACATAGTGACCACTAAAATGGAAACCGAAGAACCTTTGTGGAACTCATTCGGGAGATATGCTTGACAGAGCTAACAGCTGAGATTTCATGATAAAATGCAGATCTAGGTTCCAGTCTCAGTTTTACTAGGATTTTCCATCGTGACAAGTCATATAGGGTAGGGGATTTTCCATATCTATAATGCCCACCTATGTCAGGACCCTGAGTACACTAACAGGCCTGAATTGCACCATCCAGCCTCCCCTGGGAGCTCCACTCTCCACTCACTGGTCCAGGAGGTCTGCTTAAGTTTAGTGAGAGTATAGACCAGCCTGGGCTGTGGTTTTCCTCAGCTCCTGGCTTGTTCTGCCCACAAGGAGAAGCCCTATTTTGCTGCTCTATGATATCTTCATCTATGATTGTCATCTCAAGCTCTGTATAGTCAACAGAGACAAACAGAACATAATTCATCTTACCCTTAAATGGACATATAAAACATTTCAGACAAATAGAGCTTTGTTATATGCTTATTTTTCTTCAACAGAACATTCAGATACAGCTGTAACTTTTGGCACGTGGAAGTAAATGGAATGCTTCCCACGTTTTGAAAATGGCCAAAGGATCAAATCAGCTACTTCATAGTTCCTTTTCATTAGGTGAGTCATGGTAACAGCCCAGTACTGAATTTTAAGTCCAATGGTGTTGGCAAGCTTGATGTGTTTAGCAGAAGCCACCGCCAGAGAGAGAGGCTAAGAGCACACACAAAAGAAGCAGAATTGAGCAATGAGTGGAATCTGGGCAGAAGCCTAGCATGACTACAGGCAATATTGAAGAGCAGTAGATGTGCAGCCTTTTCCCCTAGAGAGGAAGGAGAAGAGGTCAGAAATGATTAAATGGTTCCTCCAAAATGTGTTTCACACAGCTAATAAATGTCAAAGTGCTATGGAGCATCATAAGACATGGACAAGGAAATGGACAAGATACTAAATACTTGGGAAAACAACAAAAAACTTCCCTGACCTGGAAGCCACAAAGGCAACCTGTTTACAGTGCTTTTGAAAGAGAGAGCTGTTGACATACAATGGATACTATGGCATGCTGCCTTTTACACGCCGCTTCCATGACAAATGCCTCTAGCCTTTGGACGGCTCAGAGTAAACTCTCTAGTAGGAGGGGAAGGAAGAATGTGTGATGCTAAAAGCAAAGAACTAAACAATTGGAGGAAATGCCTTTGAGATAACTCCTGGGGAGCTTGCCTATCTCCTTACCTAATAAAATTAGTTTCCCTGGCCTACATAAATTTACTGAGACTGCTTTTCTCCTGGCACTTTTCCAGACTTTGGAACCAGTGCCTAAATGGTGCTGACACAAATGATTTCCCAAAGAAAGCTCAATCCTGCCTCCTGTCTTTCCTCAATTAATAATTTCATATTAAGTCAATGAGAATCCACGTCTGAAGTCCTTTCCAAAAGCAGGTGGCACAGGAAGCTGCTGTCACTAATACACTTCAGCAATCTGTAGCTACTCATAAAACAAGGATCCCTGTGGGTACAAGTAATGTCAAACAACACCAGTTCCCTTGCTTGAATGACTGGTCTTCAGATACACCTGGGTCATCTGGAGGCAGTGTTTTGGTAGGACTAGCTCAGGAAAAAGATTTGTATTCAAAGTGTAGTCAAATATGGCTTAGTCAGTAGGAGTACTTCTATGACTTGTTAAGCACATAGGTCATTGAGGACAGAGCCTTTCCTTTAATCAGCCAGACAGAACCTGGAATCAGCTTTCACTAAAATGATATTTTCATTCATAGACCATTAATTTTGTGTGTTGATTCAACCTCTAATACATTGAATACACATGGCCTGAATGTATGTCATGAAGCCATCTTTCTTGAAATCATCTTTCTTAAAACCATCTAATGAAGACTATTCCTAGCTTGTGTTGAAGCAGTTGTAAACAATAGGGTTTGGGTTCTTTTTCTGCTGCAACCTGGAAATTGTAAGCCATAGACTGACATCCAAGATATTCTTTGAAAGGTCAAAACTTGCTAAAGGAATTTAACAAAATATGACTTACATCCAGCTTTGAAAAAACATTGAAATGTTGCCTATCTTTGTCCATTTGAGTTGGCAAAGACATGACCACACAGAATACACACACTGTAAAAGCAGGCATGTAGAAAGACTTATTCTTTACCAAAGTCTTGACTGAAGAATGTTTATAATTTTGCTTCTCTCTCTGTATTTGTCACCTTCCCCAGAAAGTAATGGTTTACATTTGTGTGTCCATTAGATTTTGTATAAATTTCATTCATTTATCAGCTGAGAGAGACAGCTAACAGATAGCTTACATCATTGGGTCACCATGCCCATGAAGGTCATGGAAAGATTTAAAAAGGAATATGAAGTACTAACATCTTTCTTGCAGGTTTTTTTTTTTTTCAATATATTGCAGGAAGTTGGCTCCTCCAGGATATGGGAACGAGAAGTGACTTCTACCAGTAACAGCTGGGTAGAAGGCTGTGGATGATGCAGGTAACTACAAATAAGCTAGACACTTTTGGTTTACTTCATAGTCCACAGATAAGGTACAAAGTATCAATTTTCCTTTATTTGGATAAAATAAATTAATCCTCAAACTCTCTGCCTATCTATTGTTTCTTTATTGAATATGACATCTGTTTAAAATGTGTCTATATTTTATGTTGAATATAAATATCTTTTGGTGCACTTTGATCATGGCTGTAATAAAAAATAGCAGCTCAGTTATTGCTGCCCAGTAAAAGAAATGCTAACAATTACTAACCCAAATTGCTAATGCAGTACTGCTCCATTACTGAACAAACTGAGCTGCTTCTGACACATACACTTGCTTTGCAGGACAAGTTGATTGGAGAGTCAAATAGAGTATCTGAACTGAGAATGTGAGGCATATGGACTGTGTAACACAAGCTGTTTGCAGGATGTAAAGCAATTCATTCTAAACAGAAGTGACTGCTGAACCACAGCCAAGTTTTGAAGTGTCTGCCTTGTCTGGGTTAAAACATGGAAGAAGGGCACTTGGGGATAAATGTGAAAAAAAAAAGAGTTTTAGGAACTGTGCATAAATGATATCTCCATCCCACCTCTGCATGTTCTCATACACAAGCCGTGAAGTCATTAATAAGAACATATAGGGTAACCAAATGCCTACTCCATCTGCCTTACCCTCCTGTGTGCGGGGAGGGGCAGGAGCTCCCCGGTCTCTCAGTCAAAGTGTCAGTGCACCAAGGGGATTGCTGGAAGACAGCTGTGCCAATTTACACCAGCTGAACATCTTCCTTGGAGAAATACATCTAGGAATCTAGAGGTCCATCTCTCACACACACACCCCGTCCAACTTGCTTAGCTGGGAAGTCTAAACATCATTTTTAAGACTGTACAGTCTGTCAGGAAAACCTCACAGCAGCCTCACAGCAGAACTTGCTGGGCTGTGAAAACCTGGACATTGAGCTTGTCTCAAACACTGCTTACATTTTTCATTATTCTGCAATTATTCAATATACACTCTTATACCATTCTCATTACCAAACAAGAATGCTGATCCTCTTGCTTTGGGAAATATACAACATCTGGAAACAATACTCACATGTGAAGCTGATAACTGGAGTAAAAGAAACAAACAAACAGCAAAAAAATAAAGTCACAAGTTAACAGCTCCACCTTGTACTCAGCTGAATTCTTCTGAATTTCCTTAATGTTAAAGTCAGTTCTATGGGCTCTGTATTTATCAGGGACTTATATATTAAAACAGCAGCCCGTCCTTCCTTTCTGTAAGCACATGTGCTGTTAGTAGTCAGGGATGTAAGAATAGCTGTATGTGTTCAGTCACAGACCCGTCCAGCCCAGTATCTTATTTCTATAAATATTCAATGTAATTTCCAAGTGCAGATGCCTCAGAGACTGTAAGGATAGGCAAAGAGCATAGTGATAGTTCCCCAAATATTCTCCCAACTTCGAAGAATTTACAGTTCAAGTACTTCCTGAAATACGGGGGCTGTCTTTCTTCTCAGTAACTCTTCATTGATGCTACTTCTATGAACTCACCCATTTCAACCCTGAGCCTATGGCAACTTTGAGTATCCAAAACATCAAACTGTGGGGAGTTGACATCTTAATAGCTCACTCCCAGTTCTCTGCAGGATTTAACTGTAGTTGTTCTTCCTTTCTATTCAGAGAGTAAACCAATAACTTTAATTCGTCATGAATTTTGGTGTTCTTAGAAGACTTCAGAGACTGTTTGCAGGATTTGAAATCCTAATTACAGGTAAAATCAGCAGCAATGTGGATGTTATACATACTGGCTGATACAACTATCTCCAATGCAGACATCTCTGCCTGAGGTAATCACTGACAAGACAGACAGTGGAGTCTGGGTAGAACCTGCTATCCTCATCTCCTCCTAGAATGGGAGATGATTCTTCCTTGAAATGCTTTCTTCCATCCTTTAATCACGAAAGCAATCTGGGTCAGGTTACGATGTTTAAAATTCAAGTAAATCCCACCACAGATAAACCAGGCAATGATGACTGATATTTCCTTTCTGTCAGAAAAGACCCCACAAATTAATCAAAAGAGCAAATCACAGTGTTGTAGCAAACAGTCATGTTTGATTAAAGTTTTGGAGTTCATACAAACAAAATATTTTGCTTTCAGATCTACTGTTTGACTTTTTTTACTGGACAAAAGGAGGGGATCAGACTAAATGTGCACCTGCATGGTATAAATTTGGCTGGTACTTGTGGTCTTTCCACTCCGGCCATAGATGTCTGTATGAGACTTGTCTGTCAGATCCCAGCAGTCTCTGAGCTTCAGGAATCGGGCTGTTAGACAAGCAGAAAGGAGTACATGGCATTGAGCAAAAAGGGCAGATAAACAGGAGTTGAGGAGATTTACACACACTAATTCTTGGATAAACATTCTCATCTGGACTCCGGTCTATCAGTTACAAGCTGGAAACCCTGCCCTGCCTGAAGTTCAGGGCGAAGTTTCCCACTCATGCCAACTCCTCCTAAGAGGAGTGTCTTCACTATCCTCAGGTTTTTCCAGCACAAGAATTAGTATTAACTCCATTTAATTCAAAATTAAAATGAGCCACAGAACATTTACCTCTGCAGTCCATCAGCAGTAGTGGTACCTGAGCCTCGATTAGTACTTTGAGAACAGGCTGCATGAGTTGTTCTTGAAATACTGGTCCAGTTTATTGTAATCATCAGAGATCATCTCTTATGTTTCTCCACAGCCTCAAGCATTCATGTTCATACATGGCTGTGAGCTATCAGTCATCCCAGCAAATATCAAGCTGAACCTGCCTTGCACCTTCCCCAGCCTTTACTCTTAGACTTTCTCCCATCTCGTGTCCCAGCACACTACAGGGATCCCCCATCATGTTATCAGCTCTTGCATACTCTTAAATACTGAAGATACTGATGCTAAAGCAGCCTTTTGCTGTTCTTTGATTTTGGTCTTTCTTGACATTTGTTAAAAAAGAAGAAACAAAAGTACCTCTTCAAAGTGATGTCCTACATCCACTTTTAGGCACTGGAATAAAGACCAAGGTTTATGGTCAGAGCAGGACCAGCCTTGCAACTTGTGTGTATTTCAGCTCAGAAATCAGGTTACTTTTCTCTGAATATGGGCCTTCGAATTTAGCCTAAAGCAGTCTTTGGTTGTAGAAAGTTGCCTGTTGTTTTCAGGCTTGGGTTGAAATATAACACTCATGAAAGATTCTAGCTTGTGCAGTTTAGATAGTTTATTATGCTGTGTCTTGAAGAAGAGATATGAAGTCCTCTCCTGATCATCCCAGGTTCTATACTGAAGGTGAGTTATATAAGCTATAGAATTCAGGACACATCACGTATTATTGCTTGAGCACACTGCGACTTACAGCTGGCTGTGCGTCTGTCTTTTGCAAAGCTCAGGTCATTAAATGAATGCAAAATCTCAGGAAAACATGGGCTAGTACCCACGACTGCAATTTGCTCACAGTAGGCAAAGGATCAACTGGACTTCAGTAGTTCACAACAACAGACCAGATCTCTTTTCCTTGCTCCAAAAAGGACAGTTGCTTTGAAGCAATAGTGACTAAACACATTTTTTTCCCTCCAAGATAGAAAAGAAAAATCCTTATTTTTAAAAAAAATAAATAAACCAAACCCACCAAACCTTATAAATGAAAATTAAGTGAAAAATCCCACTGAAGGAGGATTTGGAAACAAGCCTGCCTACATGACATAGTGTAACTGGTATCTTTGATGGAGAGGAGCATACAGCACCAAAGTGCTTACAGCACAGTGCCCTCTTGGATTGCTCTGTACTTGCAACGGTTGCTCAGAACCAGGGACGCTCAAATGCATCCTCTGTGCAAGTCAGCAAAGGTGATTTTGGACATTGTGCCCCTCTGCATTGCGTTAAGCAACACAAGAAGGATCTGTGGGCTGCTGCCCGCTGCAGAAGTTCTCAGTCTGGTTCCTCCCCACCTACTCCTGCAGTGGATGTAACAGGAGAGGAGCTTGTGTCACTTTCCTGCAGACGTGCTCCTCCTCCTTTCCTATGCCTTCCTGATCACGGTCATAGGGAGATGATAATAGCTGTATTGCTGGGAGCACAGCCACGCTTTTCCATTTCCTCCTTTCTTGGAGCTGTAGGGTGCGGCTATCAGTGAAATGATAAATAGGAACACTGAGCAGCCTCCCACACTGATTTGCATCCTGTGGAGAGGCTGGGGCAGAGCCAGAAACACGGCAAAATGCTTTGACTTCTCCAAGAGGGGAGGGACGTGAAGGTGCAAGAAGGCCATGTTCAAAAGCACGCAGCACCACAGTTCTATGATCTCATCAATGGTGAAACCCTTAAACCTATAGATAGCTCAGTGTCCTTCTCAGGAATGAAAGGTGTGCTGCTTCTCCCCTTCTGGAGGCTGTAGGAGCCCCTTAGCCCAAGGGTGCAGGATTTATGAAGTTGACTGGCTGGAAACTGAGTTTCATGGCAGGCCCAAGGTGATGTTGGAGTAGATGTCATTCCTCTCTTTGCACGCAGCTTGCTTTGCCAGAGGTTAGCAGCAGAGAGGGAGGTGTGAAATACATGCCAGAGAGCAAAGTCATGGCGCAAGAAGCATGCTGGTGTGGTGCCAGCCAGAACCCAAAAGTGCTGCCTCCCTCTCTGTGATTCACTGAAGAGCTGACCTTAAAATATGCTGTGTTGCTCTTCCTCAAACAGAGACTGGCACCTCCCAGCATGATCCTGGCACCTCACAGAGAAGGTGCCAGCACTTTCCTTGAAAACCTACACCTCTGGCACCCTCATTCAGATCCCTGAGAAGTGCAGAGCACCGCAAGCTCTGGACATTCATTCCTGATGACTGAGAAATGGATTCAGAGGAATCATCATGAGCCAGAAGGATTTGAGTAAATAAGGTGTCAGAAGACACCAGATTTTTCCACCTGTCCCCACCCTTTGCTGACAGCACACAGCCATGTCACTTCAGGTTACGGTGT